AAATATGCCAAATAAATGTTTTCTACAGGCATTTGGTTAGAATTCTTGAGGCAATGTTTCTATTCCTGCAAAATTTGCCCTGGAGGCTTAAGTCAATATGACTTAATATTTAGATGATGTAAACCTTGCTTTTTCTCCCCCTGCTCAAGAAGGACTAGTAAAAAAAACAAAAACAAAACCCAACAGATGGCCTGTTTAAAAAAAACAAAACCACCACCACCACAGAACACACAAAAAACTAAAATACCATTCCCCTAATTGTTTGCAAGCTAAATGCTGCAGCACTTGCTACTGGAAGTGTAACTGACAGCATTGATTTTCATTCTCCAGACAGAGGTGCAAAAATTGGGGTATCTAATTTTCTTCAGTTCTGTTAAAATGACAGTGAAATGCAAAAAGATGGTGTGTGGGGTGGGTGACAACCTGTCACTACATAACTTCACAAACAAACCCAAGCAGCTTTGTTCTGAGTAGAACTGAGACTATTAGCCTTCTGACTTGCTGGGGCTATTGCTGTAAAACATGGCTGGTTTGGAAGAATGGGGGGGTTGGATTTGGTTTTTTGATAGCCTGGTGTTTTGGTTTTTTTCTTTTTTAATGCTGGTTACAGTTCAAGACATGAAGTTTCTCTGAAACAAACTTAGAAGTTACAGTTGCATAGAAAGTATAATAAACTGTTGCTTATTGTAAATTTTTTTTCTAGGTAAATCAGTTCTGTGTACCCAGGTTGTCCCAGCACAAAACTTAAGAACCCTCTGTGAGAAGTTGAGAGGAACAAATAGCAGCTGTAAGAGAGCCCAGGGTGAAGTGCCCAGCAAGTCTGTAAATGACTCAGCTTTGCCAGTTGCAACAGACAAACCGTGTGCTCCTGAGACACTCAGAAAACAAATTCAACACTTGAAGAGCTTTCAGGAGGGTGATGGTGCTTTGGAAATGAAGGCAACAGACATGAAAGGATGGGATCAGGTTCCTGATGAAGCATATGACCTACTTGATAAGCTACTAGACTTAAACCCTGCAACAAGAATAACTGCAAAAGAGGCTTTGCTGCATCCTTTTTTTAAAAACGTGAGACTCTGAGAAGATACCATATTCTATTATCGCTTTCATACGTTTTATGTGGAAATGAGATACAGAGGTAGTTTTACCTTGTTGCCCTCAACATTTACACTCACTGAAATAACATCATCACACTGTGCACAGAACTACTGAAATTTTATCTTGTAGAGTTGGACTGCAAATGTAAGTTTACTTTAAGAAATACTTGCAGATGTAAAAATTACATGAACATCACTAACATGGTCTTATCCTAAGACACTGCTGAGAGGTTATTGCTGTGTATACCTGTTCTCTGAGAAAGTTGACTTTCATCAAAAACTACAAAGAAAGAGTTTCACAGGCTCTATCCTTAATTCTCAAGATATTCCCATAAAATTTACAAATTTGCCTTAAGGTATGACTGAAATAAGAAAGTGCTTGAGAGACTTTTTTCCATACTTGCGTATCTCTGCTTTGTTCCTGATTAGTACATGAGGGACTGAAAATGGAACGAAGTGTGTTAATTTCGTTCAGACTATTTTCAGAGATCGGTATTACTTTGGGGGTATTGCTAGAGGAGGGGCCAGGTGCTGGAGGTTATATCATCAAAAGAAAAGCATAACTGTTTTAAAAGAACATTTTTGTTCCTGTCTGGTCTTTCCTACTTAGGCAATAGTAATAAATGCAGTTACTCATTTTGCATAGCCCATGTTTCCTCAGTGCCATGGGTAACTGTCAATATTCAACAACTACTGCCTTCAGAATGTCTTATGTGACATGCATAGGTTTGATTTCTGTTATGGAAATTGTTGTGTTTTTTTTTTTTTTAAAGAATATCTGTTAAATAAAGGATTTGTTTTTATAACTTCAGAAGATTGTCTGGAGATGCTTCTATAAAAGTTAGTCATGTAAGGTTTTCCTGTGGGATGTTTCTGTTCAGGAAGAATTATGCACATTTGTTCCCTGCATAAATTCCTCAGTGATAGAAAACACTTTTCAGATAGCTCTAGTGTATATGACTGTCATAATGGAAGTATCTTAATTATCAAGGAAGTCTTAGCACAGAGTTAGAAGCTAGCTTTGTCTGGTCCTAAGTAGGAAAAACAACCTTAATAACGTCTAACCCCATACATTCAATGTGCAAAGTAAGTTACATTATGTTCAGCAGAAGTTACTCTAAAACCCTTGATAATTCTGGAGACTGAAACTTAATACAGGGTTTTTCCATGTACATTTCTTGAAATGCTAATGGAGTTGTTGCTATAAGAGGTCACAAGCCATTCTGAGAAAAGATTGCTGCTTTGATAACTTTTGTATAAGCCTTCTCCTATGAGCTGGTGGTTATAATAGTGCAAAGGTCCTGACCAGGGCTGGGGCTGAAGAGACATCATTTCAATATACTCAAAATCTTGAATACATAGAAAGTGATGGTAATGTTGCTCTGTTCCTGGCACCAGCTGTTAGAGAAAAATATTTGCAGATGTCAGAATATTGATTGCAGAAAATCTTGAAACCCACAAGACCCTGGGGCCCAGGTCTTAGTAACTTTTGCTGTTTATGTAGTTTCAACACAGCACGTCACTGAGAAATTATTTATCTAAAGGAACTGTGGCCAAATTTGGCAAGCAATGCTGTCTGCCAGTGTCTGCAGATGTATTGTTTCCTCCTACTTCACTCATGCTGTCTATGGTCTTATGAGAGCACTAGCTGACAACAAGCAAAAATATGTCAACTATCTATTGTGAACTTTCTAAACGACTTCAGCTTTTTAAGCTTTCCTGCTAACCACAGCATTGAGCAGCTCCTTGCAGCAGGCACTACAACAATTAACCACTGCAAAAGTTTTAATAGCCAAAAAGGGAAAATCATTGCTGATGGTGTTTTTACCAAAACATTAAGGGTAAATAAAATTCTGTAAGGAACAATTCTAAGCTCAGTATATTCCATAACAAGCTAGAAGAACACATTGTTATTCCTTCCTCCAGATAGCTATTTATTTAAAACCTGGAGAGTTGTTTTGGGGGAAGGATAAAGTGAAAAGAAAAATGTGTTTGATACAAGCATGTGCTTATGAAGTACTTCTTGTAGCACTCTACAAAAGAATGAAAGCCAGAAGTAAAATGTTAAATGCAATGGGCTCTCAATAAAAAAATAGAGAGAGAGAGAGAGAAAATTAAGGAAAACAGCAAGAAAACACTAGGGGTGAGAGTGGTTGCCACTGAGTTTTCTGCTTCTCTCTCCTGTGGTTCTAAGAATCTCCCAAAGCCATAGGTAAGAGCCAAGTACCAAGATTCCTTTAAAGCTTAATTACGTGATTTGAGATGTTTATAAATTGAATGTGAATCTCCTACCATGACAGCTGCAATTAGAGGAAACTCTGCACAGAAATGACATTGCTGCAACACATGTTCAGTGGTTGTGAGGCCGCAGCTGGATTACTGTTAAGTTCTGGACACCATGCTATGACAGGGATATTAATAAATTGGAAAGAAACCGAAAACGGCAGCAAAAAGCAGCATGGACTTGGAAAGATGAAGAGAAACTGATACCTAGAATCCTGAGAACAGAATGCTGGGAGCAAATCTAAATACATCTGTGTGTCTAGCATAGGGAAGACTAGCTTATTCTCAGTACTAAGCCAGGCTAGGTGAGGAAAGTGTAGCATGTGTTCAGTTTATGATATTTTTCCTAGTTGTAAATGATAATTAGGAAACAGGAGGGCATCTTATTAAGAGTGCCTGAGGAAACACCTGCAAAACAACAGCGAAGTTTTTCTGGATAATACTGATAATAAGGGATAAATGAAATTCTAAATTCTATTGAGTTTGTAGTCCTATCACTTTTGAGATTGGACTCAATGAAGTGTTTATTTAAAGCAAAATACTATGTGGATAACAAAATAAGTGGGACATCAATATTCTGTCTGAAAATACTCAGTATCCTCCTTATTTTATGTATTTGCCATATTCTCTGTTTTCCAGAAAGTAAAAGCAATATGGAACCAATATACAGCCAGGACTTCCTGTGCAGATGCAAAAGGCTCCCCCAAATCTTTGAGTGGCCTCTTGAGGCCACCAGGTGTGATAGGACCCAAAAATGTTTCCATAACTGCTCACTATCCAGCCAAGTTCCTATGGTCAGGAGCCATGTTGAACCTTAAGGTAAAACATGAAGGAGACTTTCATTCCAGCGCACCTCTGACATGGGTAATCTAGCAATCAGTGCATTGTGGTTTTGCAGGAATAAAACACACATCAAACGCACGGTGGGCATTGTAATCTGTTTTGGCTACAGTGAAACATCTTATTTTGGATATGACTGCCAAGCAAAAAAATCTTTCCTTTACAAAGATGATAAATTTTCCTAGCATCTTTCTGACCATTACATTCTACTAGTCAGCAAAATACAAAGAAAAAGAAAAAAATCTTTAGAGCTTGCCTCAAATATTTGTTGGTAATGAAGAGGTATGTTCCTCTTCTGAACTAGATGACATATGTAAAAGAAAGCGTTTGCATTTAGCAGGGCACACCTGAAATTTTCCTACCTCCTGAAGGCAGAGCACACAAGACAACAGAAGTCAAAAAAAAAAACCAACAGTTTTCTCCCATTTGTTCAATTTATCACGACATTTCAAAGACACTTCAGCTATGGGGAGAAAATGACTAACCATTGAAGGCACTTCATAGAACAACACCATTTTAAAGGAAATTAATACTTAATGGCTTCATTAATTCCTATTCTATAATGAAACAATATATCTCAATTGGTAGGCTTATAGCAAGGACAATTATCTGAGACATTACTCAAGCAATGTTCTTACTGCAGCATAGTTGTAAATGTTTTGTTTGCCGGGGGGCAGGGGGAGGGGTGTTGTATGTTTGGTTTTTTAAAGCACATAGTGAATTTTTCTACTAATGTAGCCACAGCATGTTCACTTCAAATTCCTCTTGTACCTTTTCCAGAAAACAGAACATGTACCAGGTCAGCAGCAGTACATATGTGGTTCATACTCCTTTCTGCTCTGCGTTCCTGGCTGGCCAGTTCAAGGGGTAGTAAATATTTAAATTGGCAGCCTGCACGCAGTGGGTGGAAATTGGATAGTCCCTTTGATCATACGCTTACAAAGGCCAGCATATAGAGTTTTGTTACTCTGGTAACAAAAAATTTCTGGTACTACTGAGGTGAGGGTCCAGTAAACTGGGTATTTTCCATCAGGAAGGTACAGCATAACCCAGAAGGGTTTTTAAATGTGCTTGTTGTATACTTAATGCTGCCTCTCCATGACTCAGCCCTTTTTACTTTCATGTCCTTTGATTCTGCAAGAATATTATCCCTATACAATGCTTTATTGTATCATGTTAAAAACTAACCCCTATAAGCATTCCAGAGTATCCCCAGAGTATTGTTTATTCCATTTCTGGAAAGACTTAAATCCTCCTGTGAGGGGGAAGAGGGTGGTTTTGTTACATGTTAGTTGCTTTCTTGCATAAAGTTCTTCCATGGTTTTCAGAAGAATCAGATTTTAATCTAAGCCCTAATTATATCTTTGTTTCAAAAATATTAGTGCTAAGAAGTGTTTTACCGAAGGTGTCCATTCAATCCATTTCTTTTATATGGCACAAACAAACTACTTGTCACAAATAATGCATAATTAGTTTTACATCTTTATGTGAAGAGATAGGGATGTAGCCTAACAATTGGAATATTTGAAGAAAATGAACTTTTTATGATGAAAGGTTATATAATTTGGTTTAATGAATGCCACAGGTCATGTCTAGCAGGAGGCAGCTCATTGATAAAGTCTCTCTCGTACTTTCCATTCCTGTTTCCTTTCACCACCTCTCCCAAAAAATCCTACCAGAGGATCAGATTCCTGCACTCTGTGTTGCTGTAAGGTATTTGTCTTTAATGATTCTTTTGCTGCTTTGAACGTTCCTGTGCGTTATGTCCAAACCACCAATTATTTCTGTTTCCAGTTGTCCCATGAGTCTCTTTGGACTCCTGCTTCTGTTCTACTGTCCATTTGCTTCTTTCAAAGATCT